CAAAAAGGTTTTAAAAAATTTCTTTTTTTAAAGTAGGGCAATTAAGACTGCTCGTACGGGGCTACAACATTGAAATTTCCGAAAGCTCGGTCTAAGGCCCAAAATAGTTTAACAAGGCATCATTTTCTAAGTTTTTACAATTTGATCGAACTACGCGTTACTAGTATTTAATATCAAACAATCAGATTTGAGCATTTGGTTTTCTGTTTCCAGTTTGTAAGACAAACAATTTTGGGCGCAATGAGTAAAAATACTTCAAGTTATAAGTGCTGAATTTTAATTTTTGAGTCGTGTTTTGAATTCGTCTGAACCAATTGAATCGTGTTTTGAACAAATGAATTTGCCACAATTTATTTTGGAACTTTTTTATGGTGCGGGATAATTCGCCACGCCTAATTAATTCGCGTTAAAATTTCAGCATCAAGCAAAATAGTCTTAAACTTACTTTGTGAGAGGAAAAATTTGGTTTGTTTTCAAGAAAAAAAGGTTGATAATTCAGAAAATTAATTAACGTTTTTCGTGGTCTAGCAACAGTTGACTCAATTGAGTTTTTGTGTACTCTTGTTGATAGTTTTCTTGCTGTACTGCGCATCACTGAAAGTTCGTTGACTTCATTTTTCGTAATGAGCTTAATCAAAACTTGAATAGTGCTTTCAGATCTGAGACGTGTAGACAGTAACTTCACTAATTCATTTGAATGAAGCTTCTAAGCAAAAAAATTAATTTTCCTTTTTTTATTTTAGATTGATTGGTATTAACGTGCTCGTAAGATAGTTCTGAAGTAGCGTTATACTTTTTGATCTGAAAAAAATGATGATTTTCTTTGTGGACGCGTCAGCTTGGTCGGAAGAAACTTTCTTAACCTATGAATCCGCAAAATTTCAATTTACAAATGTTTCAAATACAAAATTTCAAAAACTAAATCAATGTGTTCATCGAAATTCAGCTGTTCTTTTATAATAATTCCAATATATCGATTTTTTTTTGCTTTATTGGCCGATCTTCTAAGTGAAATGTTTAGGTATTTGATTTTGTCTTGTCTGTTTTTGCCAAACATTCAGGCCTAATTTTTTTCTGTATTTCGTGTCAGCTTGTTTTGTTTTAACCATTCTGCTCTTTTTTTTTCAAAGTAACCTAGTATTCTGCATGCACAGTTTTCAACTGTATACATGTCCTAAGTACCATGTCGTATGTGGGCATTTCTTAATCACAGTGTCGTCTCAGTCGGTATCATTTATGAAAATAATGAATAGCAGTGAACCAAGAGTAGATCCTTGAAGAACATCGACGAGAACTTCTCTAAACTTGATTTTGCATGTTAAGTGGCTATATACTACTTCTAATGACTCAAATGAGATTCCGATACCTGACCAATTGGTCCTCTTAGTCCATATGACTCGCTTTTATTTCAACAGGAGTAAGTGATCTACTGTTGTTTCTCACTACAAAAATCTATGCAAAATTTTCCTTTGATCGTTTCTTTTACTTTAGAAAATCCCGCTTGGCTAATTGGTATTAAATACTTAGAATGTATGTACTGCACTAGAGTTGGCAAAAAATCAATAAACTTTCTGGCCAGTTTTTTTGCCAACTGTCGAAAAAAGTTCAAGAAAATACTCCACATTCATTTTGAAAATCGCAACCGATATTCTTGATTTCCCCCCTTTTCTGTTCAAAATTAAAAGCTGATTTTTCTTAATTTGAGTACTAGTTTTTTTTCATTTTCCCTTTAACTAATTTCTTACGTGTTTTAATTTAGGCTTGTTTTTGATACACTGGAACGCAAAGATTAAGATTGTGCACAACAATTAGAACAATTACGTTCGAACAATTTACGCTCTTCAAATGAAAGTCAATTCTTTTTGTCTCCTTGAGAGTAAATTGACACTTTTCGAACTGTGTGATGTTTCTCAGTTGAACTAGGTCACACCGGTAGCAGCTTTTTTTTCTATAAATACAATTCAGAGGAAACAGACTTCTGATAAGAGTTTTTTTTGGCGTGTGTTTGGTTTTGGCACAGCTATCAATTCCTGTTATCATTTTTGTTTCACTTCTTTCTATTTTAGTTGAGTCGAACTTATTTTGTGTTTTTTAGCATGAATTTGGGAAAGGAGAGCATGTGAGTATAGGAATTTTTTATTGCTATTTTTCAAATTAATTAAATATTTATTGATATTTTCAAAATTTAGAATTTTTTAGAATAAATTCTGGGACACTGTCCAGTTTCAACTAGGCTGCTGCGGAGTATACAACCAGCGCGATTGGCACAGCTCAGATTTCTCCAAAAGCTCAGGGTCAGTTTAAACTATCATTATCATGTCATGATCAGGATCTGGAAATGGCTTAAAACGGCAAACTATCTCTATAATAGGTTGTAGTTACCACGACATGACGGCGCGGCGAAAACTGGGAGCTTAGTTAGCGTTTGTTCCCAATTGTCCGTATACGCGACATGTCATGTATCATTATTGAAAAATGATCATAAATTTTAAACTGGCCTAAGGTCTAACGATATCCTCTCAGACTTGAAGCTCAGTCGTAAACTATTCGATAACTGTCTTTCTAATCAAAATCCTGAAACCAAATAATTTTTCCGACAACTTTGCGAAGTGGGAGAAAACTATGGCGTAAAGCTTTTTCCAGCTGACGTTGACTACTTATAAGACAGCTCGTAGAGGGGGTCAAAAGGTTTTTTGGCGCTGTCTCAGTGTCAGGAAACGTTAAAATACTATGTTTTTCAGACAATGATTTTGCCAGACTGCAAAGTTCAGAATATATTTCCAATCTAATTGAACAAAAAGGGAATAGTATAAATGCCAAATCATGATTTAAGTCGCGCAATTTTGTTACGAAAATTACTGTGTGTAAGTTACGAAAGCCTTTTTGCTCTTCAAAACACTTGTTTACAGAAACTTATGATAAGAATTTTAAATTTACTTCAAAAAGTTTCAAATTGTTTTCATGTCCCAAACCTAAATTTCATAGTTTTATAAGTTAAGCTGCTGTTGGTTTTTTTTTCATTTGTGTTTTCAATTTGATTCCAAATTAGAACTGATTTTCCAATTAAGAAACAATGAAACCAGTAGTATTTCAGCTTAAGGTCAGATGAATATTCAAATTTTCCTCTGATACAAATGATAATGTTTGTTTCGTTGTTGAACCGCTGAAAAATTTTGCTGGGCAGTGCAAATGGCTTATTACTAAAGCGTCAACCAAAAGTTACCGTTTTTCCATTGTCCGCGGATTTTTTATCAGTTGTAATGCTTTGATTCCGCAAGCTTTTCTTAAATATAAATTTAACCACCTTCCACTTTTTGTCTAATTGTTCGTTTTAAGATATAGTCATTTTTGTATAGGTTGAAAATCAGGGGTTTTAAAATTGTATCTTGTGGTACACCTTGGCGGAGTGAGATCCAATTGGATTCTGTAACATTTTTTAAAAAATTACGTACTTGGAACAATCTGTGCCATTAGATAATTTTTCAAAGTGTTGCTATTTTAGATTACCGTTTCCAATGACCTGTTGTATTCAGTTACCAGAGTATTTTGGCGATACAGAGATTTTCGTGTATGTTGCATACCAGGCCAAAACATACGAGCGAAATTACATAGAAACAGTATATGGTTAGTACCGATTTAAATGCACGAAAGATACTACAAAAAGGTAAGAAAACTCCTCCGTAAGAAAGTGTCTAATAAAGCAAAAATATACCAGAGATGGATTCATAGTGAAAGATAATTGAAATTTGGTTGAAGAAAAGTCTCAACGATTAACTTTCCAAATAATGACTGGCCAGGTTAATAGGGGGAGGGGAGGTGGGAGAGGGGACTCTAAACAACGTTTTGTTACCAATTTATGGTATCCATTTTTTTGTTCAACTATCCCTGAAGTTATCGTAACGGCCTTTCTGAAATTCTATACTTTAGAAATTCAATTTTTGAATTTCGAGCTCTGCTTCGAAACAGAGCATTCTGGGGTTTCCGTTTTTCCAACAATTTCACTTTTTTCAGAGGCGATGAACCAGTCTTGCTATCGAGGTCAAAAACTGTCCAACTTCCAAGGATGTGGAGAGAAGTTGGAGGCATTCTACAGCTGTAAGTGAAAACCATAGAAACCTTTTTACTGTGGAAAGTCCTCAAGATGACTGTTTTTTTTTGTCTTAGATCTGGCCACTTTATTTCTGGCCATGGACATGCTGATGTTTCTGCTCGCGTTCACAACTGTGATTTTGATGCCCGTCGCAGTGTGAATTGCTAGAAGTGGCAAATTTTTATTTGATGTAAAGATTTTAGAAGACATCGATGTTTAACTGGAAGTCTTAATACCTCGCTACTCAAAACTATGATTTTTTTTTCAAATGTCGAAATTTGTCATTAAGTTAATTGCAGAAACGTACTTCTTGAAAATTGTTGAGACATTATATATGATGATCTGCTTTTTGATTGAAAGAGAGAGTCCTAATAAAAATGTTTACAACTATAATAAATCGCGATATTCTTCAATGAGCTTTCAGCATCGTATTTGATGATTTAAACCGACGCTCAGAAGTACCTTATCAGTAATTTGCTGATTAAACCTTAAAATTTTCCCGCCGCTTTAAATCTTCTTTAATGCTTTGAAGCAAATATATCTATAACAACTCTTACAGAGCTCTAAAAGTCTCTACTAACTGTCAACTTTGAGTTCCGTTTTTATTGTAGAAAAAATATACGTTTCATTCATAAATGGCAGTCAAGTATGAACAATCGTTTTGTCACGATCCCTTGTTACGTGACTTCTACGACCTTTCTGGCTTTCGTTCACATACTGCGAATCCATTTAGTTCCCAAACGTATATTAAAATGGAGCCCGAAAGCTCAAATTGCTCGGCATCCGTCTCAGTAGATGTCCCAAACCCGATGGACGTTCGTGCGAGCAAAATGGGGAAGCAATGTTTCCTGGTGTACAAATTGGACTTACCTACAGGTGCTCTGAGCAACCCCCGTCTAACTCATGTAAGTTCTAATTAAACTAAATTAAATCATCGCAACCACTCATTATAGTCAGCAAACAGGCATTATGAAGGTAAGAGGCAAAGCGTTATAAGAACGCTGTTTATTTTTCCCATATCAGCGCTTCGGTGTTAAGTTCAGACTTGGTAATGTTGTCGATTCATGATAACGTGCACGGCCATTATTATGGCATTGAGAACACTCAGACAGGCAGTGGTCCAACCGAGGGCAGTTCCCCAGTCCGAGTCCAGACCCTCAGACTCCAGTTTGTCCGTTTTAGCCTGGAACACCGCCAGGCCAATGAATAGCAAAGAGGCTGAAACCAGGATAAAAGTAAAATTTCGCTTTTGATAAAAAAAATATGCATAAAAAATGATCACTCAATCACATCCCGCAACCAAAAGTGAAGGCCTCACTCTCCCTAGTGTACAAATTAAGCGCAAACTAAGCTTTTTACCCTCTAAGTTACCTTTAATGTACATAATGAATAAAATTTACTTCAATTCTCAGCAAAGTTTTTACATAGTCCAAGAAAAATGATCAAAGCTACCCCCTAAGAAGTTATCAATATTTGGCTTCAAAGGCTAACATCCGGGTCTGAAAATGCCAGTTTTTCTCATCTGCACCAAGTTTTGAATGGTAGTAAACTCTTCCTCCAATAAGCGGAGTAAAAAAGTTGTTCATGCGACGTGATACATGCAGGCGTGAAACAAATAATTAGGTGAAAAATTACTAAACTGTTACTTACTGCTATTTACTTTTTCACGCGGATTGAAAGATTTAGTGCAGATGCAAAAATCTGGCATCTTCAGACCCGGATTACATTGTTAAGTCTCTTAAACCAGATATTGATAGTTACATTGGGCGTAGCTCTGATCATTTGCTCCAATGTACCGAAAAAATTGCCAAAATTTGAAGAAAAGTTTGTTTAAAATGGACAATTGAAAAGGAATTTTAGAGAGTCAAAACAAGAATTTGCGCTTAATTCCGAGTAAAACTATTTTGAAACATTCTTTTTCAATATTCATCCAGTTCTCTCTAAATTAAACGAAAAAATTTTCGGTCTAATTGAGCAATATAGGCGCAAATATACACTCAGACTTTTCCAAAAAGCGCATAGGCAATAAGAGAAACTGTTTTATCGAAAGAAAGTTCATAGAAAAACTCTTTGAAAACCTCGAAATTCCCGAAAGAAATTCCCACTCGCCAATGATCCGAAAAAAACTACTGATCCAGTTCTCTCTAAATAGGAGAATAAAAAAGCTCCAATAAGCAATTCTAACAATTGAAACAGCTTTAACGTATTTTTTCTTAAAAATTTGAAAAAAAAATGTTCATAACAATTAAGTCTATTTTTTTTATTGTCTTTGAGCTAATTTTCACTTTTCCAATGATCTGTTGGCTATGTTCTGGTTTCGCAATTGCTGTATTTTAGCTTTTTAGTGCACATTGAATTCTGGACAACTCGAATTTTTGGACGAATTCTTTGTCAATTTTTAAGGTTTTTTGTTTTAGTTTTGATATCATAAAGACTAAATTGAACCATTTTTATAGCATGGGCTGTTTAACTTGTTTCGAAGCACCATTGGTTATTTGTTTTCTTTAATGATATTTTTGATATCAAATTTCTAATTGATATCCCTGTTTTGGCTCAGGAAAAACGAAAAACGATTAGTTCACAACTGTTACTAAGTACTCTGCTAGAATTTTTTCAAATTTTGAAACTTGTTGGTACAATATAGAAAAATCTTGTTACAAAAGTTGAGCCAATGTTGGTAAAATATGGGTACAATTAGTTGAAATAGTACATAATGTATATTTGTAATGATAAATTAGGTTCCAAATAATTTTTTAAGAGTCGATTAACGTACGAAAAAGTTGTCAATCATAACTTATCAAATTGTCGTATCAGAAAATTGCCCAAATTATATAAATAGCTTTGCATTTCTTGAATCTTGTTCAACTGGTTCTAGGCTATGTTATAGATTTGTTTGATTCTAATATGGATTTTTAATTGTTGTTAAGGGAGTGTCATTTTGTTTTAAATGAACGCTGAAGAATACTGTCTGAAAAATTGGTCACGCGAAGTTTTGATTTTTCGTCTTTTTATTTGTGATTTGTTTTTCAAATACAATGCAGTTCCATTGTTTGAAAGGAAGGCAAAATTCACTATCGATCAACAAAAGTGTATTTTTTTCTAACCAATGGTCCACAAAAAAAAGTCTATGGTATCCTGGGCTCTTTTTCTCTTCCCCAAACCTGCAAGCTTTTATCAATGATTTTTTAAGAGCAATGAACGTAGTTCATTGTATAACCAAAGTTATATAGATTTTGAAGATTTATTTGTGATTTATAGGAAAAAATCTTAAAATTTAATCACGCTCAGTTTTGGTAATTCACGGTATGACTTTTTTAAAAAAAATTTAGTTTAATTCTTTTTTACTAGGAAGGTATTATCCACCATCGAACAGTAAAAGTGTAAAAGTCACGAAAAACATAATAGATTATAAGACTTCCCAGCCAAATGAAATAATTACATATTGATTCAATATTCTCAAATTGGTACGAGTAAGACAAAAAATTGTCAGCCGTACAAAGTTCTAGAAATTCAGTGCGCTTTAAGACATCTACTTTTTTCTTCGAAAATCAAAAGTTGAGATTTAAGAGTATTGAACGTAGTGAAGACTCTTATATAATTTTTGCTGTTTTTTTTTCAGGAAAAGGCTTAAAATATTGATGCACTCAGGTATATGTTCTTTTTTGAGTTCAATTGAAAATCAGCTACTGAAAATGACGTAATAACTAGCACTCTTTAAATACGAACTTGGAAATGGCGCAAGAAATTCCCACTCGCCAATGATCCGAAAAAACCTACTGATCCAGTTCTCTCTAAATAAGAGAATAAAAAAGCTCCAATAAGCAATTCTAACAATTGAAACAGCTTTAACGTAATTTTTCTTGAAAATTTGAAAAAAAAATGTTCATAACAATTAAGTCTATTTTTTTTTATTGTCTTTGAGCTAGATTTCACTTTTCCAATGATCTGTTGGCTATGTTCTGGTTTCGCAATTGCTGTACTTTAGTTTTTTAGTGCACATTGAATTCTGGACAACTTGAATTTTTGGACGAATTCTTTGTCAATTTTTAAGGTTTTTTGTTTTAGTTTTGATATCATAAAGACTAAATTGAACCATTTTTATAGCATGGGCTGTTTAACTTGTTTCGAAGCACAATTGGTTATTTGTTTTCTTTAATGATATTTTTGATATCAAATTTCTAATTGATATCCCTGTTTTGGCTCAGGAAAAACGAAAAACGATTAGTTCACAACTGTTACTAAGTACTCTGCTGGAATTTTTTCAAATTTTGAAACTTGTTGGTACAATATAGAAAAATCTTGTTACAAAAGTTGAGCCAATGTTGGTAAAATATGGGTACAATTAGTTGAAATAGTACATAATGTATATTTGTAATGATAAATTAGGTTCCAAATAATTTTTTAAGAGTCGATTAACGTACGAAAAAGTTGTCAATCATAACTTATCAAATTGTCGTATCAGAAAATTGCCAAAAATATATAAATAGCTTTGCATTTCTTGAATCTTGTTCAACTGGTTCTAGGCTATGTTATAGATTTGTTTGATTCTAATATGGATTTTTAATTGTTGTTAAGGGAGTGTCATTTTGTTTTAAATGAACGCTGAAGAATACTGTCTGAAAAATTGGTCACGCGAAGTTTTGATTTTTCGTCTTTTTATTTGTGATTTGTTTTTCAAATACAATGCAGTTCCATTGTTTGAAAGGAAGGCAAAATTCACTATCGATCAACAGAAGTGTATTTTTTTCTAACCAATGGTCCACAAAAAAAAGTCTATGGTATCCTGGGCTCTTTTTCTCTTCCCCAAACCTGCAAGCTTTTATCAATGATTTTTTAAGAGCAATGAACGTAGTTCATTGTATAACCAAAGTTTTATAGATTTTAAAGATTTATTTGTGATTTATAGGAAAAAATCTTAAAATTTAATCACGCTCAGTTTTGGTAATTCACGGTATGACTTTTTTTTAAAAAAAAATTAGTTTAATTTTTTTTTACTTGGCAGGTATTATCCACCATCGAACAGTAAAAGTGTAAAAGTCACGAAAAACATAATAGATTATAAGACTTCCCAGCCAAATGAAATATTTACATATTGATTCAATGTTCTCAAATTGGTACGAGTAAGACAAAAAATTGTCAGCCGTACAAAGTTCTAGAAATTCAGTGCGCTTTAAGACATCTACTTTTTTCTTCGAAAATCAAAAGTTGAGATTTAAGAGTATTGAACGTAGTGAAGACTGTTATATAATTTTTTGCTGATTTTTTTTTCAGGAAAAGGCTTAAAATATTGATGCACTCAGGTATATGTGCTTTTTTTGAGTTCAATTGAAAATCAGCTACTGAAAATGACGTAATAACTAGCGCTCTTTAAATACGAACTTGGAAATGGCGCAAAAAAACGTTATCGATTTCTAGTCTCGAAAGTGGAAATTATTACATAGATTTTCAGCGGAATAAAAATTTTACCTGTTGATCGAGTTTTCTCAAGGGTTAATGTTATCAAAAAAGCACCAATCATAAATCGTTTTTGAAATTCAAAGAGCTTAAAGGCAACCATTTTTTTCTTTGAAATTCGAAAGTTGATATTTTGTAAACAATGTCTGTTTTTTTGTTTTTTTTTGTGTTCATTATTCTTTCCAAATGTCACTTGGCTATGTGATTAGTAAATCAAGAATGAGCACTGTTTGCCAGTATTTCAACAACCCCTTTTTCATGCTTTGTTATTGTTTTCTTGTTTTTTAACCATTTTTTGCAAAATAAATTTGAAGCTTTTACAGAATGTATTATAAAATTTTTGAGTTTTATATATTTTTTCAGTCTTAATGAGCAAATTTATCTGAATTTTGTTTTGGTACTTTGTTTGAAGTAAAGCGTTGAAAAAATTTATGTTTTTTTCTTTGGCTTCCTCAATTTCTAAGTTAACATCTGTCGACTAATTTTTGAATCATTTTGCTTGTACTTTGAGGGCTTGAATTTTTTAAAGTGCTATTTTCTGCATTTTCAACGACTAAGTGGCTCGATATTATTTGCAGATGCATCAACTTGTAATGTTAATGGCTCAATTTTTTTTGTTCAAATGTTCCAGATTTTTTCTTTCCATTTTCTTCTGCACGAAGTTGCCCCTAACTGGAAAAATAAAAGAAGACTCTGACGCATAAATTTGTAAAAATGAAACTTTGATTTTGATGAATTGGTTTTGGTTTGCCACTTTGATGCTTTTGTTTTCTCAACTCTGTTAAAACCTGTACTCATTTTATAATTTTTTTTTGTTCCGTTAAAAATTTCCAGATATCAAATCCTTTTCGAATTGCTGTTGTTTACATTATATTTTCAAACTTGGAATTGCTGGTATCCGATCATATTTTTTCGTTATCATAAAGTCTGCTTCTCAAGTCACGCGAAGCTGGACTTTGCCTCAGTGTTTTTTGGTTCAACCTATTGAAAAATTAGGTTCGAAAAACTGACCCTGAATGATGGAGAATACGAGTGCGACAAATATGAACAGCTTTCGATCCTCTTCATTGATGACCATGCATGTGATCAGTCCCAGCATGAGAAGTATGACGAGACAGAGGGCCACCCCGCATACAAAGAACACCTGTGTGAATGTGTGGTAGCCTAGAACAGGTTGAACAAGTTATAAAGTGTAGTCGCTGAGGATGATGTCACATGTCTGAGCCCAGAAAAATAACCAATAAATGCATGTAATTTTTAACCAGAAACAGAAACCGTGAAGAGCTGAACGCCCCAAATGATGGTCCTTTCTCTCGTAGATAATGAGTCGAATTAATGAGAATTGAGTCAAAGTTTTGCTGCCAAAAAGGCGAATATATGCATAATAGCTATTTCAAGGCTCTGCTACTGTTGTTATTTGCAATTTTTTGACCCCATTTTGACCTTTGTTACGTCTGTAGCTCGTTTCTAGTTTGACCCTAATTCGACCATCAGACCAAAATCGGGTGCTTATTTTTGGTCTGGAAAATTGTCTGTTCGATCGAATTCGGTTTGATTATATTTCAGGTGAAAATAAATAATTATGATTCAAGAAGTGTTCATGGCCAAATGAAAGTCGTGATTCAGCCTTTGGGGCTTAAACTAAATGGGTTTGATGAACGTATGGCCTCGAACTGTCAAGCGAACTGAGAACAAATTTTAAACTATGATAACTATTTTAAACTAACTATCTTAAACTATAACTATTTTAAAGTATAACTATTTTAAAGAACAACTATTTTAAACTATAACTATACCTTCGACGTCGACAATGTCGCGTATGTCGTAGCACTTGGCACTGTATGTCTGCGACTGGTACTTAAAGCAGTACTCCCACAGGCCATAGTGGTATGTCCTCGCATCCACCCAGTGGGTCCCACAGATGGCACACAAGCCCATACCCAAAGTGGCCACTGCTATGCATGCAGTGGCATATAGTGTCGCCTCCGCAAATATCTGCATTGCTGTCAATTTTTTCCACTCCTAGCTCAAAACTCGACAATATAGTAGTTCTCGATTATTGAATTTGCTTTCAGTTAAAATAATATAGATTTAAAGCCACTTAGACGCTTTTACTAACAGCAAATAATGGTTTATTTTTAACACTGGCAAGTTTATGTGTTCTGTTGAAAATTTTCAACTTTGGTTAGACCAGTTTTAATATGAAGTTGATATATAGATCGATGTTCAGAAGACTTGATAACTGTTTTTTATTTTTGATTGTGACGTAAATGGTTAAAAGTTTGCTGAATTTGACAGCAATTGAATTCAATATGAGCACCAATTGTTAGCTGATGATAGCAGCAGCAAATAATAGTATCACATATCATATTATCATCTACACGGAAAGTTTTTTTTGAAAACACCGCTCAGGAAAAATCTTCAAATCTTTGATCATCGTCAAATGTCATGAAAATTTTGGGTTCTCTCGTTTCTCAACCTCTGCTATTCGTACTAACAAATATTCGCCCCTCCATGAACTAATCCAATGGGTAAACAAACACGAAGACTAATGTTGTATCGGACTTCCCCTTTCGCAAAGGGGGCAATTGTTGATTTTTATGCTTTGCGTGAACGCGTGAAGTACAGCGTGAAAAATGGAAGAAATGCACTGAGCAAGCTCTGAATCAATCTTGATTTCTTCAAACTAGAGCTAACTATTCTGAGGGGCGCGGTAGTGAAGTGGTAAAGCCTCCGCATCTTATTTTAAAGGTCGGATGTTCGAGACCCACCATGATTCGCGTTCGTAGCCTGCGAATGTGGCATCATTGCCCAGACAAAAATAAAACCAAAAAATTTGCACGTAGTTCTTATCGATGGACTGAGTAGAACAGAAGTTATCTGTTAGGAGCTGTCTTAACTCCAATGTTAGTTTTCACTTACCTAAACATAGTTTTCCATAGGCGTTGCTGTACATGCCCTACAATGAAGTGGTTCACATGATCCCGAAGACATTGCTGGTGGACCTGGACTGTGGCAGTGACTGGACCCACTGGACCCACAACCCCAAGTTCGTCATCAACCCAGAGTGCAACACTGTCATGTTATTACACCCCGACAACAAGTTCTCACACATTGCACTACCAGGTATTGCAAAATATAGTGATTTTGTCTAGTTTAGTTTTCAAAATTCCTTGTAGAGATAAACAGTTATAACAAATTTTGTGACAATTAATCGAATCAGGATTGGTATTTAATCATAGTCAAGATTTTGTCAGCAAAAATCGAAACGATGATAATTTACTTTTATGGACATTTGAGAGCAAAATAATTGGAAGTTTGTTGCCGGAAAAAATCCATGGGACCGCCGGAATACTCCGACATTTCCCGTTTTGCAAGAACACTATGGTTTATCGTATCAGATGCATTTCTTTAGACGGCATAAGATAATTAATAATTAATTTTTAATCAATAAACAAATCCGCTCGCGCTATGAAGAACACTTGTTACATGCTGTAAACCTATAGTATTCGTTATATTGGGTTACTTCAGGTTCTTAAGAGGTTTCTGCTTAACTGATTTCAGGAAGTCAGCAGTCAGATGAGAAGGACCACTGTGACAATTTAGGAAGACCGCTTCCCATCCCCATCAAACGGAGACCAAGTGAGTGACTATCACTGATAACAGCAATAGTTTATTTCTACGCCTGAAGTAATTCAAAAGTGGTCTCTCAAAGTGGTCTCTGTTCTTATTTCAATGTTGTAAGCTGGACCAGGTGCCAAATGGAGGAATATGTGTTTTCGCAACCTGGACATCTACCTTCTCATGGTCGGCTCCTGGTGTGTAAGTAGAGTGACGCTTTTCGGCTCTTTTTCATCCCCCACCCCCCCCCCCCCCGCAATTGAAACGACTGTTCACATTGTCCAATTTTTATGAAAATTGACATGCAGACTAATGAGGCCATGAAAAACATATTTGGTCTGCATAAGTAACCTAGTAAAACCACTCGTTAAACCATAAAAAAGATGCTCGTGTGAAGTGGGGGAAAAGGAAAAAGAGCCTGCTTTTCAGTTGATTTTTGAATATATCTTTAATTATTTGGCAGTAGTTAAACTATCTGTTAGTTATAAGTTTGTGTGTACAGATGCTGAACCAGTCGAATGAGGCGAAACTGAAGATCTGCCCTGTGTCGAGGACTGTGGTGTATGAGATCATCACCCGAGTGGCATCCACTGACCCCTCCCCCAATGACCCAGACAGTGAGGAGGAGATGCAGAAGACCATCGGTGGATATAGAATCTATTAAAAACTATGGCAGCTCACATCCCCCTCCTGCGGCATTAAATTTTCAAAGAGCAACTAATTCTTAAAGTTTATCTAAAACAGCGGCGTGTTAAGGGGTCGGGGGGGGGGGGGGGACACTACTTCCGTCATCGCCGACCCTCGACCGACCCTATTAATTTTCTAAAGGTCACCTTTTATCTAATTTCTTCTAGTTTTGAGAAAGTGCGCCAAAAAAACTCTGAATTATGTTAGAACCTTCCAAAAAATGTCCAGAAACATTTGGTAGGTTGTTTGTGTTCTTAAAGGTGCTCGGAAATCCAGTTTTGTCTAGCTAAATAAAAAGCCCCCCTTCGAGAAAACACTAGATTTGCGCCTGTGTTTAGTGGTGGTAGAGATCAACTTTGCGGATATTGTGTCTTTTACTATTATGGACAAGTGGCAACTGGCCATACGAGTAAAGAAAGTGCCCAAACTGATAGAGTACTTGGTCAGGTTCCGTCTGAAGACCCTGTTTGGCACTAAAAAGTACTCTGCATACTCTACCACTGCGAGGAGTCTGAACTTCGTAGACCCGGACTCCTTTGAGACGAAAGAGTTCGCAGATGGACAGTTTAAGACAAACTTACTTCATCGAGTATGCGTTTGAAACTTTTTCTCTCTAAACAATTATCCATGATGAATAATTTTATGGTACCTTGTTTAAGAGTAATGAACGAGATGAGTACTCTTATATAGGTCTTGGTGATTTTTTCGTTTTTTTTTTAAGAAAAAAACTTTGAAATTGGTTCATGCTGAATTTTGATTTTTCACGATTTGAGTTGTGATTTTTTTTAAAGTTCAGTTTATTTCCATTGCTAAAAGGAAGGCAAACTCGACACTTTTAAAAAGCAAAAGTGTGAAGTCAATGAAAACGTGATCGACTTCTACTAATTTCAAAACGGAATTTAGTTTCAGATAACCCAACAGCGAAAATCTATTTTTACCTATTTAACCAATTATCTCAAATTAGGTTAATTTTATCAAAAAAGAGTAAAAAATTAATTGTTCTCGAAATTCAAAGAGCCTTAAGGGCATATGTTTTTCTTTAAATTTCGAAGATAGATGTTTAAAAAAAACAAGTCAGTTTGTTTGTTTCCTTGCTTTCATTACTCTTTTCCACTTTTCCAACAGTCAGTTGGCTATGTTTTTTTTGTAAATCTGGTCTCATTTTTGATGCATTCTATCCTCAGGTTGCTTCAGGTTTCTTAGGTTTTGTCCCGATTCAGTTTAAAATGGTGAACAACAATAAAATGTTGCTTATTTGTGATATTATTTGTGATCCGACAAACGCACTTAATAAATTTCCCACTTCTTTCAGTTGATGCAAATCTGTTTATTTTTCTGCAGATAATGGTATCCAAGAACAACGTGTCGAGAGTAGTTGACTTCATGATAGATCTGCAGTCGCCGGATCTGTACAATTGTCAGTATCTGGAACAGCCAATTGCTTGTCCAGCCGATGGATCCACCGCTACACCAGCAGAGGCAAAAGGCGGAAAGACCGATGCACGAGAGCGTGACTTTCAGAACAGCCAAGGAAGCTCTAGTTCGGTATAATACAAAGATCGGAATATTTTTTGCGTCAGTAGGGTTTTGAATGTTTTTTTTTTCAGAAACTTGCGCCCCTTACAGGTCGAAAAAAGGCTGGTATTCATCCAAGTTCCCAACAATGGCAAAATGCTAGTCGTACTAGTTGAATTCAGTTCGATATGCGTAAAAAATGCACGAAAGATCCGTAAATAAAAAAAATTGACTGGGAGCTTCAAATTAAACGTTTAGGGTAAATGCACACGAGATTTGTTCAAAGTTCTAACTCTCTCACCTGAAACTGGGAATAATTAATAAAGACATTTTGACCGATTGTTATAATGTGTTGACTGTTAACCTCATTTGCTTCCTATCTGTTGGCAGCTGCAGCAACATAGATTGGACGCAAACAGCAGCTCTGATATTGAGGTCGAAGATGTATCACTGCATTCGTTTGACCCACACAAACACATTAAAAGTATGCTCTGCTTTTTATCGATATATCTCTTGAAATCGGGTACTTGAATTCTTTGGTGAGATCTTCACAGTGCTGATTTCAATTATCCGTTTAGTTTCTTCGATAGCCATAGAAATTTTTACTATATATAATACCATTTTTTATTTTGAAAAACATTTCTTGAAACATTTTGCGCAAAGCTTTGAAGATTATACACCTGCTATGCTTTGTGAGGCTACATAAGAGGCTCCCTTTGGAATAGTTTTGTCTGCAACTGACCCTTTAGTTTTGGGTAGTTTTTGACTGACTAAAAAGCCAAAAATGATCTAATTTTGGGCAGATTTTCGGACCCCAATTTTACAAAATAAATTGCACTATACTAATTCTGCTGACAATTTAAGCAAAATTTGTCTTGATCAGTTTTTGTCTAAGCTAAACCCAATTTGAGAAAAATGCGTTTTAGTTTTCAGTTTTCATTCGTTTTGTCACGGTAGTTTAAATCAATCAAAGAGTTTTAATCAAGGTCTTTCCAATCAAGGAGCTGTAAAGTTTTATTTGATTTCAATTTAAGCGCAGACAGGTTAATTCACTTTTATTCTAAACTTTCGGCCTTGTTCGCAGACTAAAAAATGGTTTTCAAAAAAGTAGAAAATATTTTTTTTGTTTTTTTGGCAAAATTGCTTTTTCTGCAGTAGACGCTGGCGTAAACTTGCCTGATGATGTGGATTACAACAACGAAGAGCAACAGTCCCAGCTTGATGACAACCCCGAAACGCATCAAACCTCTAGCATGAACCAGTTAGATATACTTATAGCGTCAAAGTGTTTTTGTTTCGACCCTTGAAAGGAACTTTGGATTCGAGTGTTTTAGTTTTGTTGTTTTCCACGCAAAATCAGCTACCACAAATACTCATAGGACAGGGTTGAGTAATATATCATATTAAAGCCCTTTCATTCGC